TCTAGACATTCGTGAGCCAGTGTGAGAGACATTGTACTGATGCTTCAGTGAAATATTACGTAAACTGTCCCAAATTTCTGTGTAGACCTCAGGACTGAATTCCGGAAATTCTTATCGCGTCACAATAAAAAATTCGAATTTTCGTGGGAAAATCGAACAGAACTGTCAATTTCTGCTCATCTCTTTTCTCGAAATCCACAGTTTTTAATTGAAATTTAATTCAAATCCATATAATTAAAAATTGCGATGACATGTGATTGAAATTTTAATACAACTCTAATAGTGTATAAATAAATATAATAAATTGATAAATCCTTGTCTCCATACCCTTTAACAATCTGGAATCTTATTAAAAAATTATTCTGGATTTACTGAAATGAAATTTCCGGGGTTTCCTTCTCCCAACGCGTGCAGTGAAATTTTCCTGAAAATTATCAGTCCATGAAAAGTTGGTATTTTTCTAAGAGACTAGATTTTCTAGAGACTAGACTCACGCCACAAGTCCACTGGATATAATAAACATCAGCAGATGATTGTGGAGATGAGAAACCGGTTTTGATTTTTTATTTTGACTGGACGACAGTAAACATGATATAACTGTTCATTCCGGCGTCCTCGTGTTATTCATATCGCAGCCATCGAATACAATCGAACGACGTCGGTCGACAGTGAAAAAAGCGGGAATTTAAATAGACAATAACCGAAAAAACTGCGGATTTTTCGATTTTCACTTCATAAATTCGAAAAAAATGCATGGAAAAATCGACGAATCATCGTTTCCATCATTTCCGGTCATAATCACTCCAATGCCGTAACCATAATAATTAAATATATCTCTTAATTACTTATCATTTATCTATTTTAGAATTTATTTATTATTTTTCAAAATTATTTAATGACGCAATAAATTTGTGTTCTAGTATTTCATTTTGTAAAATTTTTGAAAAATTTCAATTGACAGTCTATCTAATTTCAAGATGTGTAATTTAGTTTGTTTAAACATGAGGAATAATTTAAAATGTAATATTCAAATTTAATTAATTGAAAAGGGAACCATTTTTTTGGATGTGGTATTACTTCAGTGTAATATTATAATCAGTCAGAATTGTTGTGTTGGTCTGTTGATACCGGTAATAAATAACGGATTCGAACGTTCAAATTCAATGATAAGGATAAGTGTTGTTATCATCGAAGGAAACATATGTTGATGAACCTGAAGTCTCGATATGTTGAGGGTTTTGAGGAATTTCAGGGGATTCTCAAAACATTTGGGAATTAATAAAAAAAGTTTCAGTGATTTTGTGTACAGTCGAGAGGTTAATGAGGCTAGAAAAAATGATATGCCAATTGTTGCTCTGGAGACAACAATTGTCACGCATGGAATGCCATATCCAGATAATTATGAGACTGCGGCCAATGTTGAGAGTGTCATAAGGAGAAAAGTAATAATTATTCATTT